GCTGACGAGCTCGTAGAGTTTAAGCCACTCATTCACGTCCTTGTCTTCCGTTCCCGAAAAGTTGCCGGGATCGCGGGGTGGAGCGGCCACGAGAAAAAGAGGAGAGGTCGGCGCCGTTGATGCATTGGGCACGGCATTTGACGAAGTGTTGGTGCCGGTGGACATGTAGGAAGCAACGACTAGGCGTCCGCTGCGTAACTCCTTCGTGCGTTGTAACCCAGCACCTTCCATCAAAATGTTACGTGAAGGTACACGCGATACTAGGCATTTCAAGATATATTTACACCACGCCAACGCGCAAGCCAAGATGGAGAAGAAGAGCTGATGATGATGATCCTTCTTACCCTGGCGCATGCCCACGAAGGGGGCCCTACACCAAAATCATGTTGTCTTTCTCCGCGCCTATCCAAAGCTTTTGTGGGACATTGTCTCATAACAATATCTTTGCGGAGAGAGTTGACGATGAAATAATATTTCAGCTTTCTGTGACAATGAGAAATGCGTTTAACATGTGCCACGTTTTTATAAGTCAACACATGCAGCTCTCCGATGCACATTAGGCCATTGTGTTCTACGTCCGCCATCTTGTGCAAAATTTGCTAGTTTAATTCACCTAAATTAGCTATACTTTTTTTGTCAGAGACTTCATTTCTTTTCTTTCAATAGGTCGAGGAGAATGGGACTAAAAGCTCGAGGGATTGACAAAGTACCGATCCAGTCACAACTTGGCAAAGCAGCAATACTCGTCAGACATTCATACATGTAGAATATAAAAATAAACTTTACAAGTACAAAATGATACCAAGTACGAATGCAAAAATTATGAAACAAATCCCCACAAATAGAGAGCGAAGGAATACGTATCCATTATGACTTGGCATTAACATGAAAAACAAAAATGAATAAGTAGAGTGACCGAAGTTCTGGGAAATTTAGTATTCGGGAAAGAATAATTAGCTGGGCAAAGCATCTATTGTGACGATATTGATTATTTAATATTACCTATATCTACAGCGCTATAGTTGGGTAATATTCGTAATAAATTAATTACACATATCATTATAATGAAGTAGCGAAAATCATGAGGATCAAAACTATACACTGATACACAGAGACATAGCAGTAAAAGATACAATACAGTAATAAGAATTTATTTTAAAATGCGCAAGATAGCCAATCATAGCGACGTTTTCTGCAATATTTAAATAGATTCATAGGAAGTTCTCAATGGCAGAAGAAAGGACAAAGTGTCAATGTCTTCGTGGTTTAAGGTGGTTAATAGGTAAGGTAGCCTGTAGGACAATGTTCATCCTAAAATCTCCTAGGAATAGGTAAAATCTGCATTTAATTTGTCGTGCCTAGTGAGACAAACACTTGGGTATACGTTTATCTTAGCAAGATAAACTATGATACTACAACCATGTTTAACCAATGCTTTATGACATTTCAATTATAAATACGAGATTTATAAAATGATATTCTGGCTCCCGCAGTGCGGGTGCATTGATTCAAACTTCTGATCTTGGAGTATAATCGATAAAGCACCCGAGATGGTCAAAATTTTCGGATCCCTCCACTAAGGCGTCTCTCATAATCATATGGTGGTTTTGGGACGTTAAACTAAACATATCAAGGCCTTTTCAAAAATGGTTTTCAGAGATGAGAATATAAAGGGCTTAGGTGCCATGTACTGCCCTACACTCGCTCGATCAAAATGATTTTACAAAAAACGGGTCACCATCACACAGCGGGGGAGCAATTTTTGTGGAGAGCGGGGCGTGCAGTTTCTTTTGTCTCCACCTTAAAGTTACCCGCGCTGGTGCATGCAGCGCCCCAAGCGGCATTGGCACGCTTTAGGGACCGGTTTCGGCGGCCGTTTTTCACACCTCCTCACTCTAGCCACCCTATCTATAGGAATTATGGTAAGTACAGGTTTCGGATTGGATAGGGTTAGCTAGCGAACTGTCTACAGACTTTTTTTTCTACAGTTTCAGTTTCAATCTTCACGCAGCGTTGGGTAGTTGGGTGCGATGAAAAGCACCGAAGCAGCACCTTTGTTGTGCAAAGAGTGTAAAAACCACTAGGTCTGAAGTTTGCTGTGACATTGGAGCTTTGTCGTATTTGACAGTTTAAATGAAGCGTCATCCACTCACCGTTGCGCATATATGTAGTGTCTCATGCCAGTGCAGGATATTGCATCAAGTTCACGTTTTTTTATGAGTGCGTCTTGTCTAAACTTATTTTAAATCGACTGCAAAACAATAACAAAGCTAAGTAGACGCACGGTCACACTCCGCTGACTGAACTTCACAACAAACCAGAGTTGCATTGGGGGGAGACCACTTAGACATATGCACCTAACATCACAGAAAATGAAACGTTAAGTGTTTACTGTACTGTTATTTCCATAAAACAGTGACGCTTACTTTCGAGAGAAAAACAAGCATGTTTGTTTTTAAGTGTTGTAAAAAATAATTAATTAAATCTTGATGCCAAATTTGAAATGCAATGGATGAGCAATGCATACCTTGGTGGTTAGAGTTGCCCAGGTCTCACTTTTGCCACCTCGTCACGAAAACTTCTTGCAATAAAGTTTGTGTACAAACAAATGAAGCATGTTTCAATTAAATATAAGTTCATATCATTTTGTTTTACACTCGAAAAAAAAGCGTCGCGAATCTCAAGAATGTAATCTATCCGAAGCAGATCCGAAGCTTGCACTTCTCATGATCATCATGATAAGCACCGCTGAAGGAGCTGGCGCAGACACTAGTTCCAGATTCTCCGCTAGGTACTATTGTATGAAACTCTGGCTTGGCCACAGCCTTGCCCTGTTGTTGTGAGTCTTGTGCAATCGCATCTAATATCAGTTGCATGATGCTGCACATAAATAAAGTGGCACCACCATTGCATTGTGACACTGATACGCAAAACAGTCAAGTCATTTAAACATTGTTTTGGCTATTGGTATTTCCAAAAACAATTTTACATTTTTGGGTGTTACGGTGTAGGCTCGAGGCTCCTCCGACCATGGCCACCGTGTTGCCGCTCATATTGAGTGCCGCTGCACTTGCAAGCAGGCTGCTCAGCTGTGTGTGTGTGCATCTGAACAGAACACGATGAACTTCAAGCTATAAATCCCAACCATCTCACATTTTCAACATGCACCATCAAGTGCAATGCCGCTAGTGATGCTTGACAACATGACAGCATCCAGATTCTCCTGACAGCTGCCATTTATGCTGTGCTGCTGCACTCACAGAGTTTTTTATAAGTACTATACCACAGGAAACTCTGGTGCTAGTGTCTATGGGAGCTGCAATGCATGGTGCTTCAGCCAGCATGGAATGATGGATGGTACACAGATTTGTCTAATCTTCATTCTTATAGTTCCGTTTGGCTTCCCGTGGCCTGACTCTTCTTTGCTGAAGGTCAACAAAGGTTAAGCAGTTACACCACACCATCTTGCCCATTTTAGGATCACGAAGTTCACAACGGTTCCTTTTTTTTTTATTTGAAACAAAACCGAAACACGGTGATAAAGAAAGCCACAAGTGGATTTGAACCAAAATGACTAGGCGAATTCGTGTACTATCATCATTCTCATGGTGGTTTAACGATCACAGCATCAGAGTTGCCTCAAGTTATTTTAAAGAACTCTATGACTGCACCCTTGCTTAATCCCACCAACAAGTTGTCTCTGTGTACTACAAAGCAATCCATGCAGCTCCAGTGCTACTTCGCTCTTGTTTTGAATAGTTTTTAGCATCACTTAGATTGAAAGTGAGGGTGCTTGTGTGTACGGTTGTGACTCCAGTGCTACTTTGCTCTTGTTTTGAATAGTTTTTAGCATCACTTAGATTGAAAGTGAGGGTGCTTGTGTGTACGGTTGTGATCCCACACCCGATAGCACCACTTTGGCAGACGAAGAAGTTCTTCGGAAGGTGGCAGTGTCAGCAATGACTGTGCCATACAGCTGTTGCAGTATAATTTATTCGATGCTGAGTGAGGCTGCTTATGTAGTACACTGCCTTATACGCTTTTTTTATTTTATCTTTTGTGTTACCGGCCCATGTTGCACATGTAGATCATGTCTTGCACAAACTGTACCAGAATCTTTGGGAGCATTCTAGATTATTTTAAGATCATCTGTTTGGCTTGAGTGCACAAACGCGAGCAGCTGAGTTTTTTCTGGAACAAGTGCAGCCACCAGGAATAACACTCACATGTTCGGTGCCTCATGTATAAATGCCAACGCCCTTTGCCGCGGTTCAGTTTTTTGACAGCCAACTCTCCATTGTACACGTATCAGTAGACAGTGTGTATTGCTGCGGTTTGACTTTCCGTTTCCCAGCCTTGAGTTCGGCCAAATAAAGAGTTTCATCTTGGACAAGCTGACTGAGCCTTGGTACAAGTCACTACCTCTTGACAATACTATACAGAATGGTAAAAATTAATGGAATTGCTTAAGTTGAATTGTTCGGAGTGTTCACATTCAGTTCAGTCAGTCAGACAACCAATCAAAGGAGAATTTAATACGCTATAATTTGGAAAATGTGTACACAAGTATTGTGTCCCATGGCCGAAGTGACTACAATAATTGAGAAAAAAATATTTTCACACCTGTGCAGGCAGCAGCATAGCACAAGGTCTGAGACTCCTTTGTTATCCCACTCATTTAGACAGATGGTAGTGAAATATCAATAAAAGTAAAGCAACCTGAGGGCAATCTGTGATTGTACGCTCACTGTCGTTTTAACGTAAAATAAATTTTTGTCTGCGAACTTTTGCTGGGCCTTCGTACAGGAAGACAGGCTAAGAATACTAGTTGATTAACTGTGTGGTGTTGTCATTGTGCAGCATCATCATTGAAATTGTGTAATCGTTGCAGTTGAAATGCATGCAGAGACGAAACCTAGCTCTAGAGTAAAGGTTCTAGAAAAGCACTAGGCTATTCTGAATGATTGCACTGAAATTGCTGCACCGTGTTATCTTCACAGGCTGGGCATTGTACTACTTCAACCTTGACAGGGTGCTTGAGTATGCTGTGCATCACGTGCCTGAGCTGTCGGCACAGCTGGCCAGGATATACTTTACACGGCCAACCAGGTTGCCTCACGTGGTGGAAATCTCTGCCAACGTACCACACTCTCATTTGCATAGCATTGTTGAAGTGAGTAGGACCAGAGTTGCCACTTCTACTAGTAGTTAGTGAATTTGGATTTTTAAGGTCACCTGTAGCACTTAATTTATTTCCATTTGAAGGTCGTAATTTTGAGCATATTCACATTTTTTCTGCATATAAACATGTTTTAGTGCTCATTATGCTTGCTGATAGCACATTTGTTGATGACTTTGTGTAGTTGATCCTTGAAATCACACATTCACACAAGTAACATTATTCTCGCACTAGCAAATGTGCAGTGCACAGAGTAGACATTAGTTTGGAGATAATGTTAAGAAGCAGATATGTGCTTTTGTTCATAGTTTCACATGATTACCTCGTACAGCAAAATTACTTTTTCATTTTTCTTCGTATTTGAGTGACTTTTTTGCTGTACACTCAAATCTCAATATAATGAATGTGGGTATAATAAATTATCTGTTTGAAACTTATAATGAAGTAACTAAAGAATAGTTTTCTCATGATACAATGTTACAAATATATATTTATAACAAATTTCTTAACATAATGAAGCATTTTTGTGGCAGGTGTGATTTTGTTATCAGTGAGATAATTTTGTAATTAAAAATGCTTTTCAAAAGTGCAAAAATTGACCCAACTCATGCTTATTTTGAGTTTCTTTTCTATTGTTGTGTAACCCACTCCCCTCTGTAATGCCCTTGGGCCCTGAAGGTATTGAAATAAATAAATTAGCCATGTCACTTTCTTGGAAGGGGGGAGGGCAGGGGGCTTCTTTTGAGATGTGTATTGGCTCATTATCATCTCAAGAGCTTTTGACACATCTGCATTACGTTGGATTATGTGTACTCAAAATTAACTGAGTACACAGATCTTTTTGTCAAGTACTGTTTACAGTGCTTATGAAAAGGATTCAACTGAAATTGAGAGTGATACAGCAAGCCATTGAAGGAAGGTGCAATCCTACCACTACTATCAACGGTGGTGCCTTTGGCATATCGCAGCTGCTCCAGTAGACTCCATCCACAAAGGAGTGGTATCACTGTCACGCGTTGGAGACACTCACTGAATGAAAATTGATTGGGTGCACGCCATGGTGTGCCCTGTATGTGCAGAATAGCTGTCATTCGGGTTGCAGTGAAACAAGATGGCGGCTGAAATGCTAATGCATAGATGTTCAGCAAGCACCAAACCTGTCGTACAACATATCAGCTAGGAAGGAAAACAAGGAAAAATACAGAATGCTGATGCCTTGGTCTGCAGCAAGCACCAAAACCTGTCACACAAGCAATCCCCTAAGAAGAAAAACAGGTACCAAGACAGAATGCTGATTTGTTGGTCTGCAGTAAGCACCAAAACCTGTCATACAAATTTTGGTGCCAGCTAGGAATGAAAATAGGCACAAAGATGAAATACTGATGCATTACTCGGCAATAAGCACCAGAACCTGTCGTAAAACTTATCGGCTAAGAAGGAAAACAGGGAAAAAGATGGAATGCCAGTTCGTTGGTCTATAGTAAGCACCAAAACCTCTCATACAACCTCTCAGCTAGGAAAAAAGAGAGGTACAAAGACAGAATGCTGATACGTTGGTCTGCAGTAAGCACAAAAACCCATCGTGCAACTTATCAGCTAGGAAGAAGAACGCGTACGAAGACGGGATTCTAATGTGTTGATCTGCAGTAAGCACCAAATCTTGTCATACAACCTATCAGCTAGGAACGAAAACAGGTGCAAAGATGAAGTGCTGACGCGTTGGTTTGTAGTAAGCACCAAAACCTGTCGTAAAACCTATCAGCTAAGATGAAAGACAGGAACAGAAACGGAATGCTGATGCGTTGGGTCTGCAGTAAGCATCAAAACCTGTCATACAACCTATCAGCTAGGAAGAACAGGTACAAAGACTGAATGCTAATGTGTTGGTCTGCAGTAAGCACGAAATACTGTCGTACAACCTATCAACTAGGGAAAAAAAACAGGTACAAAGACGAAATACTGATGCGTTTGTCGGCAATATGCACCAAAACCTGTCATACAACCTATCAACTAGAAAGAAAAACAGGTACAAAGATGGAATGCTGATGCGTTGGTCTGCAGTAAGCACTAAAACCTGTCATATGTATAACCTGTCAGCTAGAAATCAAAACAGGCACAATAATGAAATGTTGATACATTGGTCTGCAGTAAGCACCAGAACCTGAAATACAGCCCATCAGCAAGAAAAGAAAACAGGGACAATGACAAAATGCTGATGCATTAGTCTGCTGTAAGCACAAAAACCTATTGTACAACCTATCAGCTAGGAAGAAAAACAGGTACAAAGACGGAATTCTGATGCAATGGTTTGCAGTAAGCACCCAAACCTCTTGTACGGTTTGTCAGCTAGGAAGGAAAATAGGCACAAAGATGAAATGGTCATGCGATAGACGGCAGTAAGCACCAGAACCTGTCATACAATCTATCAGCTAAGAAGGAAAACCGGGACAAAGACAAAATGTTGATGCATCGGCCAGCAGTAAGCACCGAAACCTGTCGTACAACATATCAGCTAGGAAGGACAAAGACGAAAAGCTTATGCGTTGGTCGGCAGCAAGCACCAAAACCTGTCAAACAACCAACCACCTAAGAAGAAAAACAGGGACAAAGACAGAATGCTGATGAGTTGGTCTGCAGTAAGCACCCAAAACTGTCATACAACATATCAGTTAGGAAGAAAATCGGGGACAAAGACAAAATGCTGATGCATTAGTCTGAAGCAAGCAAGAGAAACGGTCATACGACCTATAAACTAGGAAAGAAAATAGGCACCAAGATGCAATGCTGATGTGTAAGTCTGCAGAAAGCACCAAAACCTGCCGTACAACCTATCAGCTAGGAATGAAAACAGGGACAAAGACGAAATGCTGATGTGTTGGTCTGCAGTAAGCACCAAAATATATGGTACAACATATCAGCTAAGAAGAAAAACAGGGAGAAAGACGGAATGCTGGTACGTTGGTCTGCAGTAAGCACCAAAACCTGTCACACAACCAATCAGCTAGGAAGAAGAACAGGGACAAAGATGGAATGCTGATGCATTGGTCTGCAGTAAGCACTAAAACCTGTCATACGTACAACCTGTCAGCTAGAAACGAAAAAAGGCACAATAACGAAATGCTGATGCATAGGTCTGCAGTAAGCACCAGAAGCTGTCGTAAAACCTATTAGATAGAAAGAAAAACATGTACAAAGACAGAATGCTGATGCCTTGGTCTGCAGTAAGCGGTGAAACCTGTCAAACCTGTCATTCAACCTATCAGCTAGTAAGAAATACAGGTACAAATATGGAATGCTGATGTGTTGGTCTGCAGTAAGCACCAAACTTGTCATACAACCTATCAGCCATGAAGAAGAACAGGGACAAAGACGGAATGCTGATGAATTGGTCTGCAGTAAGCACCCAAAACTGTCGTACAACAAATCAGTTGGGAAGAAAATCGGGGACAAAGACAAAATGCTGAAGCATTAGTCTGAAGCAAGCAAAAAAAACTGTCATATGACCTATAAGCTAGGAAAAAAATAGGCACCAAGACGCAATGCTGATGCATAAGTCTGCAGTAAGCACCAAAACCTGCCGTACAATCTATCAGCTAGGAATGAAAACAAGGACAAAGACAAAATGATAATGCGTTAGTCTGTAGTAAGCACCAAGACCTGTCATTCAACCTATCAGCTAGGAAGGAAAACAGGGACAAAGACGAAAAACTGATGCGTTGGGTCTGCAGTAAGCACTAAAACCTATCACACAACCAACCCCCTAAGGAGAAAAGCAGGTACCAATACAGAATGCTGATGCGATGGTCTGCAGTAAGCACCAAAACCTGTCATACAAACGATCAGCTAGGAAGAACAGGGACAAGGATGGAATGCTGATGAATTGGCCTGCAGTAAGCACCCAAAACTGTCATACAACATATCGGTTAGGAAGAAAATTGGGGACAAAGACAAAATGCTGATGCATTAGTCTGCAGTAAGCAAGAGAAACTGTCATACGACCTATAAACTAGGGAAAAAAATAGGCACCAAGATGCAATGCTGATGCATAAGTCTGCAGAAAGCACCAAAACCTGCCGTACACCCTATCAGCTAGGAATGAAAGCAGGGACAAAGACGAAATGCTGATGCATAACACTGCAGCAAGCACGAAAAACTGTCGTACAACATTGCAGCTATGAAGGAAAACGAGAACAAAAACGGAATGCTGATGCGTTGGTCTGCAGTAAGCACCAAAACCTGACATACAACTTATCAACTAAAAAAAAATCACAAAGATGAAATTCTGATGCATTAGTCTGCTGTAAGCATCAGAACCTGATGTACAGCCCATCAGCAAAAAAAGAAAACAGGGACAAAGGCAAAATGCTGATGCATTATTCTGCAGTAAGCACCAAAACCTGTCATACAACAAATCAGCCAGAAAAGAAAATGGGGAAAAAGACAAAATGCTGATGCATTAGTCTGCAGTACCCACGAAAAGCTGTCGTACAACATTGCAGCTATGAAGGAAAATAAGAACAAAAACGGAATGCTGTTGCGTATGTCTGCATTAAGCACCAAAACATGTCATACAACCCACCAGCTAGAAAAGAAAACGGTGAAAAAGAGGAAATTGGGGGGGGGGGGGGAAGCGGTGGTGCTGATGCATTAAACTGCAGTAAGCACCAGGACCTGTCGTACAACATTTCAGCTATGAAGGAAAACAGAGATGAAAACTAAATACTGATGCATTGGTATGCAGCAAACACCGAAACCTGTCATACAACCTTTCAGCTAGAAATGAAAACAGGCACAATAACTAAATGCTGATACATTGGTCTGCAGCAAGCACCAAAACCTGACGCACAACCTGCCAACTAGGAAAAAAATAGGCACAAAGACGTAGTCTACAGTAAGCACGAAAACCTGTCGTACAATCTATCAGCTACGAAGGAAAACAGAGAGAAAGACGGAATGCTGATGCATTGGCCTGGAGTAAGCACCAAAACCTGTCATAAAACCAATCAGCTAGAAAGAAAAACAGGTAAAAAGATAGAATGCTGATGTGTTGGTCTGCTGTAAGAAAACTGCATACCAATGCATCAGCATTCCGTCCATGTTCTTGTTTTCATTCCTAGATAATAGATTGTAAGACAGGTTCTGGTGCAGTTTTGTTGTTGTTGCTGTTGTTGTTACAGTTCTTTTTTTCTATGTGTGCACATGTGTGACGGTTTGGAAGCTAACCATCGGTTCAATAAAAGCCAGTTGCATGTGTGCACTTGTCCATGTCTCTTCTAATTTCTTAGTTGAGCGCCTATGAATTATGTCCCAGCTATGAACCAACTAGCCCAACAGCAGACACTATTGAGCAATTATGCCATGGTAGCTTTGCATGAAAGAGGCTCTGCGGCAAAGCACAAGTTTTATTTGTAGCGACGGCAGCTGCATTTTGGAGAGAAGTGAAATGCAAAAAACTTCTTCGATTTAAGTGCACCTTAACCTTTTCGTTACTGCGTGAGAATGGTTGTTTTTTATATGTCTCGGGAAGATTGTTTTTGCCTGTTTTAAAAGTACTCCAGCACGCATTGCAGCATACCGAACTTTGCAGAATGAAATGCTCTTTCCAAAAAATATAAGTAGTAGAGCAGCAAAAATATTTTAGAATGAATAAAAACGTGAAAAGAGTGAAATTTTTTTATCACCACCTGGTAAACAATAGAATAAAAAACACTATATATGCAAAAATATTCACAACAAACAAAATTCTGAATATACATTTCGTAGATAAATGACCCAGGAACAGTATAAAAATAATTGATATTCTACAAAATGTTTCTCTTCACATAGACAAAGAAAATCAGAACCGAGGTGCTGCTTCATTGCTCATGCCATGCGGTGAAGCACGAGACACAAGTGTACTTGTACACTCTTCTCAGTAAATTTTTGTTGCCTTGCGATAAGAGTCTTCAGGTATTCCAATACAGATGGATACCAGTGATGTGAATAATCCCTCGATAAATGAGGTGTCCGTTGAACTTCGCTATTTCATCTAGCACACCTTTTTTTCCGAGCCACCTCTCTCCCCATAGGTTGGCGTTCCAATATATGCATCCAAGCATACGCTTTTGCATCTTTGCACATGTCGTAATAAAAAAGGACAATATCACATGCAGTTCTAAAATGTTTCGCATTGCTTTATGTCAGAGTCAAGATGTGCTCCCGGGACCTCCTTGCCGTTAGGAAAGTTCTGCAGCCAGCGCCTTCACATCACGCCCTAGCGATGTGTAGACCACGCACGTAACCTGAGTAAATATAAGCTTATGCACAAAGGTCAGAAGTTATATGCACTTGCGGCAGAGGGGATAACTTGAGAATGTAAGCAAAACAAACCAATCATTGGCTACGGATGTTTCAGGCAAAACATTGTCGCCATAAAACTTGAAGCTGAGGTGCTGTCATTCGCAAAATCTCAGCTTGTTCTCACTCAATTCAGGTAGGCTCGTAAGACAGTTTCAAGCAGCACATGTTTTGCAGCTTTAAGGTAATAAACTGAACTGAACTGAACTGAGCAGGGCTGACGCACACGCATGCGTGCATGACAACCACGTAATAGAAGCGACTAGTGACACTAGATGTGAGCCTTCGTTTGATATACCGATATAAGCTAAACCAAAACGGCTGGAAACTGGCTGTGAGAGCTTTATACATGCGGCGGACCTTGGGAAATAATTTTTTGCAGAATCATTTTTTCTGACTTCTAGCAACAGCTCTCTATTGATTAGCTAGCATAAATTTCCGACAATTATTACAGCTCAACTCGGTCAAATTGTGAAGCTAACACATCAATTCAGTATTTGGCTTGCGAAGTTTTCTTTCATTACAGAATTTCGATGTTACTGTAGCATAATCATGAGAGGCACGCACTTCTGTCAAGTTCGCCAATCTAGTGCATTTTTCCAACTACACACGCACATTGGTTCGTGCTAAAGTCTGTAAAAAACCTCTATGTTGCCCAATTCGGCAAATTCAAAAAAATTCCGAAAGTTGAGTGGCTAAGCTAACTACTAGAAAGTGCTGCGTACAAGAGAAAGGAATATAAAATTCCAAAATTGATAACCAAAAAGTGCCAATCACCGGTGATCGATTTGAGTAGGAGTGGTAACGAAAGAGCTAAGAAACCTAAGGTTGTCACAGTCAATCCAGAGTCCTAGCCTCATGAGCATGTTGTGGTTTGGACATGGAAAACCCTTGTAACTGTTATTACCATTTTCCTGCTTCCAACTTCCAACTCGTCTGCTTCACAGTTCTTCTGCTGACCCTCGTTGAGGCATTTCATTGAGCCTGTTGGTGTTGACTGAAGGCTTCCATATTACTAATAAATGCACACAAAGACACTAGAAAAAGAGACAGGATGACAGCTAGCGGTGTTTCTTTCTCTGGTATTCTTGTGGGTATTCACTAGTATAATATGGAAGCTTCTACTGGTTGTCTTGGTCTGGAGCTCTAAATTTATGAATCGCCAAAACACTCTTGGACTTACTGAGGCACTTGCAAAAAAAGCAGCATCACTATTCATGGCGAAAAGTGTGCTCATTGTTCTTTTGACAGCACATATACGTGTAACTGCAATTTTTTCTTTCTTTTTCTTTCTAGCAAATGGCAAGTGGTTTTTTGAAGACTCAGATCGCACAGTCGTGGTCACTGCCACGGCTCAAGAAAGGCCAGAAGGTGGCGGCCATTTTCGGCACCGGGCACGTGGTGACCTTCGACGGTGTGTTTCTCGAATTTCCCAGCTACCCGGCTTCGTACTGCATGTACCTCCTTGCGCACGACATTGGCGGTCGACAGTTTACGCTGACAACCAGTGCCAATGACCTGCTCATTGACTTTCCCGAGATCACTCTCACAATATCGGGACTGGATGGCAGAGTTCTCATCAATGGAAGTGATGCTCTTGTACATCTTCCTCTGGTGCTCAAATCTGGGTAAGTAAATTACAGTGCAAATTTTTAAGTGAGGAGCTCTTTTCAGGGCCAGGCTTGTCATCTATTCATGCATCTCGTGTGGCATGACCACGAGAAAGTGTTCAATACAGGGCATAAAAAGGCTAGCAATGCTCAAAGGTGACTTAAATGAGCAAACAAGATCCTAAATAGTATATTGATGGATATAGCTGAGAAAAAATTGCAATTATTACCTTAAAATCATTATGAACATTTCAAAAACATACAACTGACTCTGGTGACATGCAGGAGAGTGTGCCGCTTTATATTTATAAAGGTAGCAACAACTACACGCGCGCCCTCTGGAGTGGTCTAAAGAGCAGTGCTAGCAGGTGACGCTCTGCTCACTCGTGTACGTTCCGCAGATGCCTGAATCGGTTAATTATTGCCATTTGTAGCATAAGCTGCTCAGAAAACTTCAGATAACACGGGCAACTAACGTGATTCCTGAGTGCTCTAAACGTTGAAATAAAAACACGTGCTTTTCCGAAGCAGCTTCTGAGCACTTCTTATGCAGGACATTTATTTTTTCATTCATTGCGGCATAGACTTTTCTAAAAAACTAGTGGGAACTCTGGCGCTGCAATTGTTCAGCAACCGTGGGAATGATGGGTAGTACACAGATTTGCCTAGTCTTTGTACTTGCGGGTGGCGCATCACACTTGCGGCTTCTTTTATTGCTGTTTTTTCATTGTGTTTCGAAGGAAAGAACGAACCCTTTTGAACTTAGCGACCCAATCTAAAATGGTAAGCCTAAAAGAATAAAGTGGTGAAACGCAACCGCTGAATATTTGCTGATTTTTGTTTCATGAGAAAACAGCTCCAGGGCACATGAACACAAACGGAGCGCAGAAGTACTAGACAAGTTCATGTACTACCTATCATTCCCATGCTCGCTTAAGTGCCGTGCATTGCAGCTCCCATGAACACTAGCGCCAGAGTTCCCTCTAGTGCATATTTTGGAAATTCTATGCTTCGTGGGTTTTTAAACAATATATTTACTGATTGTTTTCTTTTCTTGTGCGAAAAAAAAAGAAAAAAAAAGCAGGTTGCAAGCTTACTGCTACCTTCTTAAACCTCATGGGGCATCTAACCGAATTTGATTGGCAAAACATGCACTGTTATTACTTTCATTCCATATTTCAGCGTTCAGAAGTGTTCCCACAATTACATGGTATTTTCAACTATGCTCATTTTTCTTAGAAAGTGCTCTAATAAGCTTACTTAGAAGAAAGAGTTGCACTGCATGTGTGCAATGTCAGCGACCAGAGTACCTCTACAGATCAAGGAACCACAATTGTATCACCCATTCTAGTGCTTAGATGTTTTTAAAGACGTACATTTATTAAAAGCCCCGCCATCTTTCTGTCCCACATATGTGAGATATGATGCAACATTACCAAATGAAGAGCAGTGCAAATTTAAGGGCTTATTTTATTTGTCATTCCCAGTATTAACAAGAACTCAGACAATGGTGCCAAGAAAAATATAGGGCATGTTATTGGAAGTACTTTTAATGTTACTGCAAAAAAAAGAAAAGTGGGCGAAAAGATAACTTGCCACAGGCAGGGACTGCATCTGCGACCTCCGAACAACGCGTCCAATTCTCTACCACTGAGCTGTAATGGTGTATGGGCATTTATATTGGGAGCATCTGTCAGCATCACTGTAATGGCAACAGGTAATGACTACAGTGCCGCCGCTGCTGCTCGAAGCTGTAAATTATTCTTGGTAAAACGTCGGCCCGTCGTCACTCGCCCACTACTTTGAGATTGGTCCAACCTTGGCAGCCAACTTAGGGCTGGTCTCTAGGATTGACATTGGCCTCACACAGGCCTATGTCAGCACACAACGTAGGTCTGAAGTGGCAGCTCATTTCCCGAGTGCGCGGCACATGTGGGTTCACCATGGTTCGACCTTATATAAGCATGAACTTACCAACGGCAATGAGTCGGTTGCAAATGTTTCCTGCACTGCTCTTTTTCTTGTATTTTGTGCATTTGGCATTGGCACAGTGCACATGCAAGACAAAATTAAATGCCTTTAAGAGTCGGCACTTGTTAGCATGTAAGCACATGTAACACGCAGTAAAAGAAATAGTTGAGCGTACGCTTCCTCATTTTAGATGTTTATTTTAAATTTGCACAATTTTTTATGCCACATTGTTAGCATTTAACGATTTGCAGCAGGCCTTCTGCAACCCAACTATCCAGTCCATGGAGTAGCATTCCTGCTAAATCAGTTCTCTCATTCGGTCACTACGGAAGACAGGCTCAAGTTTGCGCAGCACCATTCTTTGCCCTAAAGCCCTTTCATCACGTCTACTGTCGCCTTTTTAAGTAGCGCCAACAATTGTTCCACTACCGCCGCCTAGTTCCGGTTTCGGAGTTTCCGAAAGGAAGTTATTGAGCCACTTCCTTTTGCTTTTTTTTCTTTCATGTTGTTTTTGAACACGTGAGAAAGTAATTATTTTCTTCTTCTTTCCACAAGTGTTGTCTCGAGTTTCATTCTATGCTTGCGAGAAATTCCACCTTGCTGCTGTGCACAAGGCTGCCTGACGGGTTGATGACCAAATGCTAGCAGAAATGCGAAAAGGCATTCGTGATTACAAATGTTTAATAATCTTCAGACCAAACGGCTCTCAGTGCGCTGGAACATGCCAAACTGTGCACGCATACATGCTTGATCCCACTGCACTCATGGCCTCTGCGGTGACCAAATCATACAAAAACTCGTGTCATCAGCGCAGCTGATACCTTCTGCAGTGCTTCTGACCATTTAGGAAGCTAAAATTAGGCCTGCATTCTATACACTTAGCGGGCAGAAAGTCTGATCTACAGTTGCCTATGTTTGCTCAAGGGCCATATTCAACGGGCTGTACCTTCAAGTGAAACCATATAATGCAACATTAAAAGAGTGGCTACTTGGGCTGGTTGGTATTGCATATTAGTGTGCAGGAAACGTTTTCTGAAGGAAGATAGAACAAAGAGATAGCACAGAGCACACACTTACAACTAATTTTATTGCACAGATGGCGGGAATATATATACTATGAAAATTTTATCTGGTGTGGTGTTGGTAGCAGCGGGGACAGTTGATCCATTGTTGAAGCGAACCACACCTGATGCGAGAGCTATGCCTTTAATAAGGCAAAGGGGTGACGGAGTGACCAAAATGTCACCAGAGTCGACGTCGTTGGACAAAACTGTGACTAATTGATGTTCGCGTGGTGATAACTCGATGTCTACAGCAGCGATGAGTCGAAGTGGCCTGTAGGTTTCGTCGTTGAGTAAGTGGTTCGTGTCAGTAAGACGGACGACACGTTGTGCATAACAAACAGCCACAGAACCAGAGGAAAGAAAGCCCCATCGTAAAATGAGTTCATGGGAGCACAGGGATAGCACAGCAAATTCTATATTATGAAGAATTTCGTCGATTAGCACACGAGCAGTACAGAGAGCGGAAGGGCGAATCATTGTTCCCTGGGCTGTAACCAGTGTTGGTCCATCATAAGGCGTCGTGACTTTTCGAAGACGGGCACACAAATCAGCACGAATAACAGAAAATGCAGCCCCAGTGTCCACCAAAGCATCAACGTTTATTCCCTCAACTGTGACCGCAATCATATTGTATGGGTGCGCTGTAGGAATTGGAGTCCTGTGTTAGAATGTGGTTTGTCCTCCAAAAACTGCATCGCTTAGTTTTCCGGACGCTGATCAGAAGAGAGGGAAGCAGGCTGAAGAGGAGTAGAGGAGCGATGGTAGGGCGATTGTGAACGGCGATGGGTTGATCGATGACTACTGCGAAGTTCACCCAATGCAGGCGGAGATGGAGACCGATGCGGAGGTGACGAATAACGGCGGCCCTGGTACAAGGCTCCTGTGGTATAGTCCCGTTCGCGTATGTCGTACCCTCAACGCTCGTCTTGCTGATCCACGGTAATACAGGCCGCGTCACTGTCTGGTTGTAAGCGCATAGACTCAAGTTCTTCGAGGTGCTGACAGGTTGTCGCAACATCAGCAACAGTAGCCGGATTCTGGATTGCAAGGGCATTGAATATGATGGGTGCAATCCCCTTAAGAAGCTGGCGCACCTTGTTTGACTCTGTCATTGGTGTGTCAACCCGGCGGCAAAGTGAAAGAACATCCTTGATGTAGGATGTATACCACTCCCCGATGTGATGTTTCCGAGTCGCGAGAGCTTTCTTTGCGAGAGCCGAACGAACAGCCGGTGTGCCAAAGACATGGCGAAGCTGATCTTTGAAGGCTGACCAGTCGGGGATGTCATTGAAGTGGTTGAGGAACCACGTCTTCGCGACACCCGTGAGGTAGAATGACACGTGAGCGAGTTTGTAGGTGTTATCCCATCAGTTAGCAGCGCCAACTCATTTGAAATCGTCCAGCCATTCCTCCACATCTTTCCCGCGCATACCAGCGAAGGGATGGGGCTCACGCTGGAGGCTGTTGATGACGTGAGAAGGCGCGGCACGCGGTGGTGGAGTGGGAACGGCTGCAGCACCGACCTCATCTTGGTGCGACATATTTCCGGACACCTGGCCCAAGCGGCGACCTGAACGTAGCTCCAGGGGGTAGAGTGGTCGAGAGGATAGCGTGGGATCTAACAGCACCTCCACCACGTATGAAGTCTTGGTTTGGATGACCTTCATTAGGCCCAAGGAACCGGCAGCCGACAGCTACGATGAATGAACCAAGATGATGATGCTATGCGACAACGATGAGAATGCATGAGGCACACATGATAATGATGATAATGTACAGAAGAAGAGGATGCGTATACTAACTGCCCACAATACATTCAAGAAGGTGAGGAGATCACACACAGATGAAAGGACAAATGATGGCGCATGCGCCAGACTACCTTATTCCAACCTTGAAATGACAACTTAACTGAAAAGATACTCGTATTCACTATACGACAGATTGACGGACGGGGCACTTACACGTTCAGCTCCTGCTTTGCAGATCAAAAAAGCTTTATATATTTCACATGCCCTCTTGTCCTTATATCTTGTCAGTACTCGGCATTCATCAAACTTCAGTGTGCACCCACAATTCGCACAGTAACTTGCCAAGTGGCTGCTCACTGATCCACGCATCAGATTTGCGTGTTCGCTAAGGCGATCGTTCAGACAGCACCCCGTCTGACCGATGTAGTATCGACCATAGGATAAATAAATCAGATGCACAGTGCCTATAATACATTCCACAAACATCTTTGCGTGCTTAGTATTGCACCCAAGACTTAAATATCCTTCGTAGTTAACTCTTTTGCAAAGAGAGCTCGGCTTGTTTTTTGCCGTAAAGACAACCTTTATCCCAGTTTTCTCAACGATTCTTTTTAAGCAGTGCGAAACTTGGTGCACATAAGGAATGGCAGACACTTTCGGCTTTGGCTGGTCCTGAGATGCATGCCGTGCATTCTTTCCCCGCCTCAATACATTAAGAAGTGATTCTGCTATGCCCTAGAGCAGGTGATCAGGAAAGCTCTACCTTCCTTCTGAAAATGTTCCCTGCAAACGAAGGAAGTATATTTCTTTCAAAAATAATCTAACATGTTTTTATTAATTGTGAAAGCTGACGCACAGGAGAATGCACAGGGGAAGTCTCAAAAATATGAAAAATGGTTTTTTTTCTTGATTTTACTCAGAAGTTTCTCTTGCTTGCTGTTTTTTTTTAAGTTAACCATTGTATTTTTTTATTGAAAAGCGTTATTAATATAAGTATTGGAAGTTTTATAAATAAGCATACTGAGAATGTTCTGCGGAGTAATTTCGCCGCTCTGTCGTACGCCCGTTTGGACAAAAAGACCTGCAAAGTAGGCAAAAGAAGTTTTTCTGGGTTTACTTGTTGTTTTATTAAAATAAGTCGTTTACCCAGAAAAGGTAAATTTAACTGAATGCAAGCGAACACATGAGTGAATTTCGCTAAACAAACTTTAGGTTTGCAGCTTCAATATATTTTGTGTGATTCATCGCCAAAGTCGGAAGAAACAGCCAGTGCAGGTAAGTGTCGCACTCCACTTCTTCATCTTTATTGATTTACTGTGCTTTCAAAAAAACTTTTCCGGCAGAACTAATTGCGGATCTCTTCTTTCCACTCGTGAAGCGATAAAATTTTGAAATAAAGTGAAGGGGTTCACCAGCCATGCTTTGTTCAGTCTTAGGTGGAATCATCCAGTGGTTAGTTTTATTCACCATATAATATGTATGCGTGTGTAATGTGTACTCACGTGCAGCCAAGTGGACGTGTATCGGGAAGGTCATCTGGTGAGAGTGCGAGGACATGGCTTGACCATTTACTGCGACACCAGCAAGTTTTTCTGCACATTTGTATTAGACCAGTCTCACCACAGCAACCTTCTCGGAACACTCGGCAATGCGGATGGCTATACTGGCAACGAATACGAGGCGAGTGCTTTTGTTGCTTGGCTCGTCGTGCATCTTATTCTTACCCGTAAATTTCTTTTCCACATTCTGATAACTGTAGATCATGTAACTTAATTTGACTTGTAGTAGAAGTACTGACTGTTCAGTTTTAGTAATGGTTGTAGCCTTAACTTTGGGTGTATTTAGTGAAAAACAAATATATCCTGGAGAGTAACCATGTGTTTCTTGCATTGCCAAGTGTACGGGTGGTCATACATTGTATTAGTGCTGAATGTGAAGGCACTCCTCTACAAGGTATAGCATTTTAGAGGGAAGCTCACTCATGAATCACAGTGACCTGTTCCCTCATGTCCTGTGCCGTCACCATCTAGGCTGGAGCGTCCCCACACTGGTAACTGGTACACTTTCTGCACAGTTTGCACAAAATCTGTGCCTCATGCCTGAGTAGTGCTGTCAACATAAACCAAGTTTCCAGTCATTTTGTGCACTGCTTCACTTAAAGCCTCTTGAAGCCTCTTCTGACCAACTAGATGTGATTATGTCTGACCAACTAGATGTAAGCTCCCTACCATGTAGCCAACTGGCTAATACTACATTAAAGCAAAGCCAGCTAACCACTATCTTTGCTTCTATCCAAAAACTGGGCCTCACTGATGAATGGGGACAATAGTACACGTAGCTCTTTATCATCAACTTTGGAATGAAGAATTCAGTTTGATGCAGCATTTACAGCTGCTCAGAAGCGTTACCTGAAAATGCACTTTGCTAAAGATTAGTTCAGCTCAGTGCATGCTATAGGCTCTCATTTCGGTTGGCCATGTCTGCTGTGTTAGAGCAATTCATTGAGGGAGATGTTTTTTGAGAAAACATGGCTGATTCCAAATTACAAAAGGGCTACACTTGTAAACTTAATCTAAAGGTCATTTCACATGACACAAAAAGTAGCAATTTTCAGGCTGCGGATTCTCTTCTAGCGAAAAAAAAAAGCCTGTTCGCTCCCACCGCAGCGGCGAGCTACCAACATGTCGAAAAATTTTGGTGCTGCTCGCAGCAGCAGAGCGATTTTTTTGTTAGGAACCCATCAAAGTAGTGCGGAGGTAGCCAAGCTGCTAAAATTGCACCAACGTGTTTGTTTAGGTAATGCCCAATCTTGCGTATTTTAAAGGGGAATCAAATTGGGAAGTCTTCCTAAATGATGGAACACTCATGATCCTCATTACCGTTCAAGAAAACTACATAATATCGTAATGCATAGATCATTACATTACGTTTGAAAATTTGTGCAGTGTCTGGCACAAAGATTTCCAGTGAGAAACCTTGCTTGCCATGCCAGCTTCAGAGTGAAAATCACACCACATTCGCAGCCCATATTAAGTGAAACCATCATTAGCAGCAGTTGCAAACAAAGTGAATGGAGCAATATTTTTCGCTGCAGTTGGGGCATGTGAAACAGCCTTGAGTTGTCAGTGTCCTCGACAGCAGGTGCTTCACTCAAATCGAATCCCACATTGAATAGCATCAATGTAATGATTTTTTTTATTAATCATAGTGGTATGCTGATCATCAAAATTGAAGTTTAACACTGAAGACTGCCGTATTTACTCGCGTAACTCATGCACTTTTTTCTTGAAAATTCGCAGCAAAGTTGAAGCGTGCATTTATTATGCGGGGTAAATTTTATGAAAACTTTTTCGGGAGGAGTGAAAAATGTGGTAATGCAAAAAAAATTTAGACAAAATTTATCTTTCCGTAATTGACATATGCGTAAACTGTTTGGAAACAGCTACAACAAAACCTCATTAATTCGAAGTCACTGGGGCCGCGAGAAAGCTTTGAATTAAGCGGCTTTTCGAATTAACAGAACATACAAGAAGTGGGATGCAAGGAACTTGGAACTATTCAAAGTAATCAGTGCTCGTCGTTTGCTGTGCCGGCTAGCTCGCGGATTCAAATGTCATGTTTTCCAGCAGTGCCTGGACTTTATTTGCCTCGAACATGGAGGAACGGTGGGCCTCGCTGTTGTCACGGAAGAAAAACTCGGTCGCAACAAATTAAAATGTGCGCCTGCAGAAAATAAGACATCTTCACTGCAGCACAGTAATGACATGCGGGCAGCATGTCGCCTGCTCCTTGCTTCGTCAGCACGTCATGATGCGACGACTCGCACATTCTTTTATAATTATGACTTTAATAATGGCCAGTAGGACGAAGCTCACGATGTGTTTTGGGTGGAAAAAATGACCTTTGAAACTTTTGAACTTAGTTTTCGAAGTAGGTGTTGCTGGCAAAAACTTCGCCAGCAGTGCCAAGACACGAATTGCTGAAACAACCACATACATCGGGATTTCCGCGAAACTGTTCTTTATTAATTTCTTTACAACCCCAGAAAGAATCCCGCTGACGTTGCGAGAAACGTGCGTTAAGCTGCCCGCGTCTCACTACTGTATTGCAGTGAAGCACAGCTCGTTTTCCGCAGGCATATGTTTTGGTTTATCACGAGACTATTTTTTTCCTTTTTTTCTTTTTTTGTGCTGCAATTAGCGAGGCTTCCACTCGTTAGTATCGATACATCGCATTGCCTTGTGGCTATTAATAGCCGTCGTTCCGCAGATTCGCGGCGAAATCGGGATCTGGAACTGGCACATATGGCACCCAAAGTTTTCAAATTAATTAACCGGACTGGTGGCGGCTGCCGCTTCAAATTATCCACTCAAACTTACATTGCAAAATACGGGACCGCGGAAATCCTTCAAACTAAGCAGCATTTATAAATAACCGAGCTCGTATTAACGAGGAGGAGGAGGAGGAAAAAACCTTTATTGATGCTGGCTGTGCCAGATAGCCCTTATCCCCACCGGGCTGGTTGACATCCCTAGTCCGGGACGTCATTAGTCGAGGCCGCCACCCGAGCCCGCTGCACTAGAGTTCGCTGTTCCTCTAGTGTGGAGCTATTGAGTAGGGTCGTCTCCCAGTCCTCTTTAGTGGGGTTGGGAAAGGAGGTTAATTTTGGGTTCATTTGGCAGGCCCAGACCATATGGTAAGTGTTGGCCACTTCCCCACAGTACTGGCACTGCCCACTTATTTTAGGGTCTTAATATTTTAGTATGGCTGGACAGAGCAGCGTATTTGTCTGTAGGCGCCGCAGGATGCGCTCCTCCATTTTCGAGAGTCCCTTCGCTGGTGCGGGATACAAGCTGCGTTGCTCAATGTAGTATTCTGTGATTTCTCGAAACCGTATTAAAGGTGTGGGACGTTCAGGTCTATCAGGGGAACGGGGAGTTTCCCGGGAAGTAAGCACGCGGGCCGCTGCATGTGCAGCCTCGTTACCCTGTAGACCCTGATGTCCCGGAGTCCATATAAGACGTTTTGGGGTAGGATCGCGGTTCCTGATGCTGAATTTTAAAAGTCTATTAGCCAATGGAGAGATTTCTCCTGCAAGATAGCTCTCGCAGGCTCTTCGAGAGTCTGTAACTATTTGTTTTGAGTTTGGATGGGATACTGCCAGTGCAATGGCCACCTCCTCCGCCTTAATTGAGCTTGTGGCTTTGAAAGTGAGGCCGTCCATCTGCGTTCCTTGATGTATTACCGCCGCCGTGTAGTATCCCCTAGGTGACGGCCCGGCCACATCGACGTAATAGACCCCATTACGGGAGCCAAGCCGTTGTTCAAGTGCCTCAGCGCGCGCTTGCCTTCTACCCTGGTGCGCCTCCCTGGTCATATTGCGGGGAAGCGGGGACACCCAGAGTTTTGTTCTCCAAAGTTCAGTAATACGCTCCGCGTTTTCGATTTCGCATTCGTGCTGGATCAAGAGGCGATCCAGTAGGCGCCGCCCGGGAGGTGTCTGCATAAGACGCGTATATTGATTTGTGAGGTGGGCTTCTTGGAGCTCTTGTATAGAGTTAAAGACTCCCAATGCAGAGAGTTTCTGATTTGAAGTGCTGATGGGTAAATCAAGTGCGCGCTTAATTACTTTCCTAAGAATAGCATCGACTCTGTTCTCTTCGTGTTTAGTCATTCGTAAGTACGGTATTGAATATAGAATCCTGCTAGTTAGATAAGCATTGGCGAGCCGAATCGCGTCCCTTCCTCGTAGCCCCCCGCGCTTGTTTGACACTCGGCGGATCATGTGCCCTACCTGTTCTCCTATTTTCCGTAGCTTGTCTAGCGTGGTGCTGTTTTTTGTTCTGTTGTGAATCAGAAGGCCAAGGATTCGTAGTTCTGAAACCTCTCGTATTGTTGATCCTGATACCATCAAGTTCAGGGTCGTCCTATCTTTAATGTTTTCTCCGATATGCAGGAATTCAGATTTGGTTGGAGCGCACTGCAACCCACACTGGGCCGCATAGTCCTCCACAATGGAGGCGGCCTGCTGCAGGCGGTCTTCAATTTCTCCTAAACTGCCCTGATTCGTCCAGATTGTTATATCATTGGCGTATATTGCATGATATATTCCTTCCATTACTGCCAATGCTTGCGGGAGCTTCATCATGGCAATGTTGAATAGCAGCGGAGACAGGACAGCTCCTTGCGGGGTTCCCCGCGTCCCCATTTTGAATGGTCCATGTTCCTCGTTATCTATGCGAATGAACGCCAGTCTTTCAGAGAGGAAGTCTCTGATGTAGGCAAATACTTTCTTACCGCAATGGACACTACTCAAGTTCTTCAGGATGCTTTCATGTTTAATGTTGTCGAATGCGCCTTTAAGGTCGAGTGCAAGAATTGCTCTGTCGTGCGTCGAGGAAATGGGTTGGATAATGTCTCGTTTTAGTTGCAAGAGGATATCTTGCGCAGACAGGTTGGGCCTAAAGCCAAACATGGAATCTGCGAAATGCCCCTTGCTCTCGAGGTACGTGGCGAGACGGTCTCTAACCATTGTTTCCATCAATTTGCCGGCACATGAAGTTAATGATATAGGTCTGAGGTTGTCCGTGCTGATTTGCTTGCCTGGTTTGGGGATGAATGTGACAACTGCTGTTTTCCATTCAGTTGGCAGTGGTTGGCCATCCCAGATCGCGTTAATG